GTTATTGTTTAAAATTTAAATCACGCACATGGATGTTCATTCTTGTCGCAATGGATGTCGCTTTAGAAAAATAGCGCAAGCAACGAGTTGGACGCGCGAGAGACACACGGCGCGTGGCCCCTCTCTCCTTTCGTACAAATATATAAATAGATTTTTCAAGTATATCAAATACTTGGTGAGTTATCTAGGCAGGCAACGGCCTTGTGCGTCCTTTGTGAGATCCGCACCTCATCTGTGTGTGTGTGTGTGTGTGTGTGTTTTCGTGTACAAAACAGGGCGAAAAAACGCAAGGAAAAGTGTGGTACAAGTCAGGCGACGATGATCAAAAACGCTTTTATAAAGAGGCCCTCCGATCGAAGCTGGGTAAGGACTTCGATTATCGTTATCCGATATACAAAAGTGCGGAGTTACGACTACGGGATCACAGCGAGACTAAGAATTTTCCACGTTATTGTGACAAAATAGCGGCTCTTTACGAAACCACTCCGTCTGCTCTTATCCCTCATCTCTCGACGCGTGCACCGCAAGATAACTCGCGACTGCGGTTTCCGGCGCCTCGGCAAATTCTTTTTTTTTTTTTTCATGTTTTCATGTGTTCTTTTCCATCCTCTAACTCGAGGCCTGGAATAAACTAACAGAGAGCACCGTTCGAAAAAGTGCACCGAAAGAGTCTTTACCTAAGAACAATCTAACTAGCAATCGTAGAAATACTGTACATCAGTTCATTCTCATCTCTTTTTATTTTTTATTTTTTTTTTAAATTTTAACTCCCGCAATTTTTTTCTCCGAAAGTTGGAAAATAGTACTGCGCATGTACGATTCAGACGATTACAATTTGCATTAAAATTTATAATATCGTATTACAAATTAGGATGCAGAGGCTATAAAAAATTATAAATACATCTTGTCGCAGAAGTGGGTAATCTTTCGATAAAATCGGTAAAAAGATATTAATCTTCGTCATTCCGTATTCTTTGCGTTTAACCCCCGGATGTGCGGTCTTCTGATAATTCTCTTGAAAATTCAAACGATAAAGGAACCCGATGGAAACTCAAACCAGATACCATTGTTAGTTCGAGATTCCTTTAAAAATTAAATCTAGAAGAAAAAAAATTTAATCTGATATAACTGAGAAAATATCATAAAAAGTAAAAAATAATCTTCACGCATCCAAAGGTTAAATGGCAATGCATCGAACTGAACTAATTTATGACTATTACGTGTCAATTGTGTTCATCGAGGAGCGATACTTAACATCGGACAATATAATTTTGATCATACGAAAAAAATTACACACACATTATTTACTGCTAACACAATTACCTTACTAGCAAAATTGACCAAGCATTTCAAAAAAATTTTGTCCAATATTTTGCTGTGATAAGATAAAAATATAAAAAAAATTTTACAACTTTATTATCAGAAATATAAGTGATATGTCATCATCCATTGAAATCGCAACATGAAATATAAAAATTCAAATATACAATGAGACATGATTATGAAATAATCTATAACATAATTTTGTATAACTGCATATTACAATATCTTTATCTTGTAATTTCAAAGAACGATAATATTATGTTTTTAAAGTGTGTAATTTTTTTCAAAATTTTAGACTCAATCAATCTCAAGAGAAAAAGAGCTGTCGCTCTCCAGTTTCTCTTATCAATTTTCTTTTACATTCGCAAATCCAACAGCTTCAGACTGCGAGATTCTGTGGATTTCTTCGCTTCGATACATTGTTACAAAATGCATTGAAAAGTATTGTAAAGCAATTGCAACTGCATTTATAAACAGTTATTTTCTCTCAAATATCTTTTGCGAGAAATCTTTAGCAAAGTATACTCAGATTCTATAATTTTTTACTAGATCTCGAGGACGTAAGATATTTTTGAAAAAATGTAGCAATTTTGCTATTGCAATACTTTTTACATCAGTATCGTTGTTATGAGCGATGAATAATAGCACATACGTGATTTTGCAGTTGAAAGAATCAGTGCGAAACCGGCGCACCTTCCAAATATTCCTAATTCTACTATTGTGCTTTGTCATTGGTGTGTAAGATCACTCGTTAAAAAAAGGTCATTCTATAGTCAAGTGTGCAGTCTTGCGGCCTATGTAGTACAAATTTTTTTTTACCGTATAAAGCTTACAAATTACGAGTTTAGATTGACATTATTACATTAACTAGTTTTTTATGAAACGTTTCTCCTAATATTTTCTGTTATCGTACAGTGATGTTATCTGCACTGTTAGATTTCAATGAACTAAAGGTAGAGTCTTCAGCTTTGGCCCTTAGTTTATCAAAATTCGATTTTGTAACCGCAGTTTGCCCACTTCTATTGCGCATCAGAGTTTACAAATATGATATTGCGCTATATCAAACATCTTCAAACAGATATTAAAGCGAAACGAAAGTAAAATATTAGTATCTGCTACAAAATGGATCACAAGAAATTTCACAACAGCTGGGTTATCCATTAATCACTGAGGTGTCATTTAAAATTTCATTTTCAGTGCCTTTTCCTTTATGCACAATAAAATAATTCAATGTTACAACCGATATACAGGATAGTTTGATCGTTTGAAATATCTTGGAACATCTTGAAATGTTTCAAGAACAAATCATTTGATTCGAGGAAACGAATATTATTATTAGATCCTCAAATTTGATAAGTTATTTCTGAAATATTTTTCCATACCTTTAAGAACAACAAAGACATTTCAAATGATTGAATCAAGTAAAATATCCTGTATACAAATATCACTAACAGCATCTTGTATAAAAACGTTTAGATATCTCGGTAATCAGCCTCCTTAGCTTAAATTAACACAGAACAATTGCACAGAAAAAAGTACTCTCGAAATCAAATGACTTTCATCAAATTAGATGGATTTGACTACGTAGCCTTCGCGCGATTGCATACAAAATTATGCGATACAGAATTAAGCTTTCATTTAAACATTGGTTATCCTCGCTGAATTCAATCACCACACTAAAACAACCCTTCAATTCTTCACCTTCACAGTTTGCAAATATTTCTTTATCGCATAGTACCTAGTCTTGATTTGTGGACCAGAATGCGAACCTACGTGCGACAGTTCTGTCTAAAATTGAGCAGAAAGCCGATATCGAGTTTGGTTTTATGGTTTTCGACACCTCCTCCTTTCGCGAGCGGAGTATTGGTCCTTTTGCCGAGGAAACGCTACCTTTCGCTCGCTCTTTCACTTAAATCCTATCTATATTATTTATATATATATATGTATATATATTACAGTAATATTACATACATAATACTATTCGCGTATAATAAAATATCTGTGTTTAACGGCCGCCACTCGTCGGACGGTCTTCCAAGAATTAGAATAGAACCACAGTTCTCATTTTGGAAAATTCATGTGGCATCTGACATAAAGTAACATTGACAGATGCATGATGGATCTCAAGGTCAAAAGGATTTCCGAAAGATGCTTCTTCAAAGGACTCGAAGATTCTCCAGGATGACAAAACATGTTGATGAAAACCACTGTACACTGTATTCTCCCTTCCTTAGCACATCCTTCAGCAGGCCGAGAAAGAGCCTCTCCTAACGGGACAGCGAAGAGGCATGCAGACGATTTAATATCGACGAGCTCTTTCCCCGAAGCACTGTACACACTGTATATCTCTCACCTTAGTTCAGTCCGCAAGTAAATAATCCGGGCGAACGTGGATTTTTTGATTAAGTATTAAAGGACACTGCAACAGCAGTAGGTCTTCTTCTCCTTCTCAGGACTGAAGTTCATCTCGCGCACGATTTCGGCGAACATCTCGTTGACGTTGGTGCGGTTCTTGGCGCTCGCCTCGACGAACGGGCAGCCCCACATCTGCGCGAGCTGGTGGCCCTCTTCGGTGCCGACCTCCCGCTGGTGTTCCAGATCGAGTTTGTTCGCCACCAGCAGCACTGGCACACGTTCTGTGCCCTTGACGCGGGTGATGAGCTCCTTCATCGCCTTGATGTCCTGGAAGGTCTGGTGATTCGTCAGGCTGTACACGACGACGAAACCCTGGCCGTTCTTGATGTACAGATCGCGCATAGACGCGAACTGCTCGGTGCCAGCGGTATCGAGGATCTCGAGCACGCACGGCGAGTTGTCCACCTCGATCTCCTTGCGGTAAAAATCCTCGATTGTCGGGTCGTACTTCTCCATGAAGCAGCCAGACACAAATTGGACGGTGAGCGCGCTCTTGCCCACCCCGCCCGAGCCGAGGACCACCACCTTGAATTCGCGCATCTCGTCGACGTCGTCGCCGTCGCCGTCGCCGTCGCCGCCGCGGCCGTCGGCTCCTCTGCGCCTCCTTCTACGACGTCGCCACCACCTCCTAGACGTGTCCAGGACCGCGCCGGGGTGTGGAGCGCCGTTTCATCCAAGAGACACAGAGCGAGCGAGCGAGCGAG